CCCCTGGGCGTTACCCCAACACAAATTATGGCAATAATAATACAACTGGATATACTGCTTATTTTCGAATCTGTTTCCTGCTGTGCCATGACTCCTTTTCCTCCCTCTGCCTTCTTGCTTTACCCCTGAAAAGGCCCAACCCTGAGCAGAGCTGTATCATTCTGAGGTCTAGTGGATGAGGTGCTGGGAAGCGCAAGGGAAGGAGGAATTTTTCCTTCTCTGTCTACCAAAGGAGGAGAGGAGCTACCTGGGAGAGTTCCTCTCTCTCACGATGAAGTGACAAATTGCCCACAGAGTGAATTTCTTTCTGCACTGAACAAAAAGTTTGCACTGTAACAAGGAACACTTATTTTGCTTTCTTGGTGTGGTGATTACAGTCTCCCAGACTGTCCATCTGGGTGGGTGCATACCGCTACAAGAACTACCTTCACCCATACATTGCAGAGAGGAGTTGTTACTGACAGCTGAATAAAAGTTAAGCAAGCTGCAAAATTGTTCTGATGACAAATAACACAGGAAGAGAACCACCAGAACAAGACTGTTTTTCTGGTTCTACAATGTCATGGAGCTTCTTTACCCGACAGCATCTTTTGTCCTGAATTCAAATGACACTTAACGACACAACATGATGTGGCGCCAGTGTTTTTTACATCTCGGTACAAAACCAGCACTCTGCTGGCGATCTTTTCACAGCTGCAGGAAGCCTCCTGCGGCAAATACTTTCATCATTTAAAGCTCTGTATTCGTAATTAACTGGTGTTGGTCACTATTCCTTCTGAAGTGTATTGCTGCAGCCATTAAAGGAGGATGGCTGTAGGCTTAGATCAAAACAAGCAAGTGAAAGAGAAAACAGACAGTGGTTTAGGAGCTGTGAAGCTGAGATAAACTCCTTTATTTCTTAGACAATCCACTGATCCTGAAGAGATCAACAGGTCTTCCATATTTCCAAGTACGCTATTATGATCACATATCTATCACTCTTTCTTTATGACCTCATAGGCTTTGGAGGAACAATTTTCTTCCCAAGAGGACATGAAATTTAGCCTTTGTATCAGCAGGTAAAAAGAAAAAGCAGGAAGATATAGGCCTTTTGGTAATACTCTCATAATACCAGAGCAAGATGGTTTATAAGCCAAGAGTTACAGTATAATTTTCACCTCTTAGCAGATTTTGATTACATCTCCCAAACATAATCTCTAGGTGGTGAATAGACCACTATTAGTCTCTGCTATAGGCTGCATTAACCACATACAATTTATAATATGCTGAAATGAGACTGGCTGATCTTTTTTTTTTTTTCTGATGCTTTGTCACTTTGGAGGGAAATAGTCAAATAGGAGAGGGCCTTACCCATCTAATGGATCTGTTACAGCATTATCGATATCTGTGTAAAAGAGACACAGGTGTGTCTGGAACAGGCAGCAAACTGTTCAGAGGCAGCCTGAAAACACTTTAAACTGTTTCTGATGGTGTTTTAGTGTAACAAAAAGAGCCTTCCTTAATTGGGGTTTGCCTTTTCGACCTGTGGTACAAAATTGGATGATACTTCATGAACTTATCTGTACTAACATACTTAACAGCTTTTATGAAAATAGTTCATTTTATGATATTTAAACGCTGCAAGTCTCTGAACTCTCAAGTACCATGAAAAAAAACCTCCCTGCAACGTGCACTTTTATAAGTAACTTTAATGATCTGCAACATGTGTCACTTTTACTTGGGATGTTCCCAGCTGCCTGTTTGCTGTGCTGACTGGAAGTTTGCCAGGGAAGATTACTGGCAATCATTAGATCATTAGTCCTGGTGGAAGAAAGCCTGCTCCAGTGCGGCAGGATCACCTGGACTGAGCATCTGAACAAGCCACTTGGAGGCAATGAGCATTACAAGCTCCAAAAAAAAAAAGATCAGGGCTTAAAATGTTACCCGATTCTCCAACTCCTTGAAGCCACCTCCAATTGTTTCCTCTGTACACACGGCTCCCCAGCTCCTTTGCTACTAGACTGTAACACTCCACAGAGGTAGCATTTACTTACCTTTCCCAAGTGAAACAAATGCCCAGAATAGTACCTAGCAAAGAATCAGGTAAGGTGTCTTCCTCCAAAAGAGCTTTACCTGTTTGAACTGCCATGAAATTGTTAACAGAACTGTTAACAGAAAAATTAATCTCACTTTTGTCACCACTTTTTTTTTTTTTTTTCCCCAGGCTACTGAAGAGACAAGACTCAGGCCTTACACTCACAATATGCCGGAAAAGTTTTCATATACTGCCACCTGACGTTACAGTGTACCCGTTTCACCACTACACTATGCTGCCAGGGATTTTATTCCAGCAGTAAGCATATCCCTTCCAAGCAGTCTGTTAAAAAAGTGCAGTTAAGTTAGAACTGCTTTAATTAATACATGCTCTGCCCGAGGCAGCACGCAATGACATTCTAACAATTCTGCTTTCAATTCTGACTACAGCCAAATTAGCGTTGTTTTTTCTCCCACTGAATTTACTTCAACGGTAAACTTGTCTCTTTATTCAGGCCACAGCCAGAGCATTCATGTTCTAAATCAGCAGTAAATTTACAGCAAAACATGCACACACATATCATAAACTTCGCATATATTTATACACACCAAAATTATAAAGGATCATGTCCGTGCATGAATACATTTACATGTACTGCCCTACTTATTTGGACTGCTGTTTCAGAACATGTATGTTTAGTTACGGTTTGCGTATCTATAAGCTATGGATTTGAATCCAAAATCTGATCAGTTAACACCTTGTTCCCTAAAGCTGTATTATAAAAAATAGAACATAATGTTTTAGAAGCTGTCAGGAAAGTAAAACAATTTGTGTGTGATCGAATAAGGGGTGATCACCATGCGTTGGAGAGCAATCCTAAAGCAGTCAGGCACGCATGGCACTCGGATATACAAACCACTTGGCAAGATGCTAAAACCAACATTCAGGCTGAAGGTATTTAAAACCTGCATGCATGCCTTGTCTGAAAGGGAGTCTCCTGCCTTGGATACTTATCTGTAATTCAGTAGATCTAGGCAAATTCCTAGCTCTTTTGCTTACTTCCTCTACAATCTGGGGCAGCTCTCTTAAGCTCTGTCTCTGTAGCTCATCTGCCCAGCAGAACCAATTAAGTTCCTTTCTCTCCTATTTCAATTGCAAGATCCGTAGGCAGACCTGTCTCTGTGTACATATTGCCATACAGGCTCATTACTGTTTTGGGCTTGGCATCATATGAACGTGACTTAAATGTTTCTAGATCTAAACTGACCAGTGAAGAGCTTCACGGCCTCAGGCCCTAAAGCAGCACGCACCCCCGGACCTGGAAATGTCACAGACAGCAAGAGGCACCATCCGGGATCAACAGGCAGCCTTGACGAACTTCTCACAGTTAACAGAGGTGACAGTACAAGCAGAGGACAGTATTTCTGTAGCCAAAGAGAGCACAATAAGCATGGTTTTAAAATGGAAGTGGTGAGATTGAAACATCATGTGAAAGCAGCTCAAAATCTGTGCTTGTTCCAGCAGGGGGTTAGCTCAGAAAGTATGTGGGATTCACATCAGCCTCTGAAGAGAAGAAACCTTCACATGACAGCAAGCTCTTCAGCCTGAGCCCAGTACAGAATTACAGTTCCTGGTTATAAACATTTGCATTGAAGGAAAAAAAAAAGAAAAAGGATGTTACAGACTAATTTTTCAGAACTCACTCAGTGTGTATGATTGCTCTTTGTTCTGTTTAATGCTGTATTGCACTGAGGCTTATTTCCACTTGTCACCATGGATTTTTATATTCAAAATACAGGCTACATTCCTATATTCCACAGGCTATTCCTATATTCTTACTTCACATACTATGGAAATGTAGGGGCAATGTAATTCCACAATAAAAACTATGTACAGCCATCTTGAAATCGGCTGCTCATACTGTTCAATGCATTTGAAGTAGAATATATGTAAGGACCTTCTTTCACTTCTCTATCTCAGGGCTGTCACATGCAAAACAAAACAAACCAAATCATACAGTATCCAGGTTTATTTGTACACTGGACTGATCTTCCGGTTTTCCTCTCAGTTCGCATCTTTCAGTGATTTATTACCCTTACTTATAAATGTAAAATTTAAATTTTGAATCTAGAAATATTAAAACATCTCAGTTTAAAAGAAAAATATTTCCTTCTAAGACACTTGCAGTGAGCTTTGCTGATACTGTTTTTAAGAGTGATAGCAGAGTTGCATAAATCAATTAACATGCTTCAAAGCTTTCTCAGTATAGTGAAGCTTCAGTGATGGAGATGTTTAAGAACAGCTTTGAAAGAACTAGGAGAGGACTTAAACAGCTTGACTTACAAGCCACAGCCTAAGAGGAGGAAGAGAGCCAGTTGCTGTTTGTGCAAATCTGGCATGTTCTGAGTTTTTTAAGCAGTAGGTAGCGGGAAACTTACTAACATACTTACTTGGCTATTCCTCCTAAAAAACCTGTAAAAATTAGTTAGAAATCATTCTTTAATTTCAGTTGTTGCAATGGCTGTATGCAAGTCGAAATGCTGAGCACACTGAGAAGCACGCGAATGCATGTACTTTGCTAACTTGTCAAGTGAACTGACATCCCTTTAGCATCCAGAACTATCCTTCGGTCCTTCCAGCATAGTGTTCATTTTGGACTGGAGAGTGGGCTCTAGCAGAACCTCTTCATGCGTTCTGAATGTACAAAGCACAAACCCAGCAACAGAGTGCAGCATCCAGCACTTGCACTGGAGTGCCACATCCCATACATGTTGTAGATGAACTCTCAATGTCATTTTTCACTCTCAGTTACCAAGGCATTCGATTCTTTTTCAGATTGAGAGATATTATTTTTTATTTAAAAGGTAATACAATGCAACTGTGAACTGGTTTTTACCATAAGGGGGGAAAAAAAAAAAGAGTATTTCAGAAGATTCGTATGTTTAGAAATGTCAGTGAATATATAAAAATGGCAGATGGGACCAAAAAGCAGTCATTGGATTGAGTCTAACACCAAAGCATGCAGTCAAGCAGGAAGGAGACTAGTGATAATGGGGTTTGCATGGGCACTCCCTGTGCAAGTCAGCGTTCCTGGTAAAGCAAGGCCTGTGATAGAGCCAGGCACACACACTGAGCAGGGGCCTGCACAGGTGGGCATTTCACATCAACGAGCACACAGGATGCAGCTCATATTGTGAATGGCAAAGCACCAGCATTCAGAGGTTGTCACCCAACAGAAATCTGTTTCAATTTTGTAGGCTAGGCCTCCTTTTAAGAAGACAGAAGCTTAGCACAACTCCATCCCAAGACTACATGCTGCTACAGGACAGCTTTTACTTGTATGCTGACATGATCCACCTCTCAGTTTCTCCACAGCCTTCCCACCTGGCCCTCTTTCCCAAACCCAGTTTTTTACTGAAGATGTTCTTGGACAATAAGTTTCTGGCTTGGCTCCAATTAAATGCTTAATTATTTAGAAGTCAGAATATATCCAGTAATTCCATAGCATTGACTTACAAACAAATAATAAACATTTGCAAAAATGAAATAATTATACTAACAGCCTGTAAAACCTACAGACTGAATTGAGAAATCAAAACTTCTGGGATTAAATTATGACATTGAATACATAATTTAAAAGTCATGAAGATAACAAAATTATTATTTCTCCCTGTAACAAGTCATGTCTTTTTTATTCTCCTAGTTACAGGTGCTGTTTTGATGGCATGACGACAAAGTAACTAAATTAGCAAGTCTAAATGCAACGGGAGGATAACACCACCCTCCGCAAATAAACCTACTCAAGTTTCTCAAGCCATCCTGCTACAAAGCAGCCTTAGAGCAGACCACCCCAGAGTGCACACTACCAAAGTTCCACAACTGCTTCTAAGAGAGATGGCACGGTTTTGAATGTCCAAGCTGGGATTACAGTGTAAGCGTAAGCACTGAAGCGCCAGACATGAGCGCCTTTCATACTTGAAACCATGGGGACAAACTTCCAAAAGGCCAGAAACTTTTGCCTTCCCTGAAGAGGAGGGATCTAAGCAATACACTTAAGAACTTGTGTATTTAAAAATGTAGAAAAGCACAGCAGAGTTGGTCATGTTTGTTGCCATAAGAACAGAAGTTTATTTGCATATGCAAATACTGGCTATTTATTTATTATAAATGAAAACTATGCTCACAATTTAAACAACAAGTTCACTTGCCATTTAAAACTGTGGTCTTAGTAACTGCAACTGACAATTTTACTCCCCAAATGTTAAAGAACTTGAGGCTTCTTTCTGTTCTTTATGCAACTGTTTTGCCCTGTTCTTCAAATCCTCTGCCTTAGCATCATTCTTCTCAACGCCATCTCCCAGTTTGTACATTCGACTGGCATTGGCACAAGCCCACACGTGACCCAGCTCACACCCTTTCAGCGAGTACTTCAAAGCATGGTTCATGTCCTTAGGGACCCCAGGTGCTCCTTGGAGGTATATTACACCGAGATTGAAGCAGCTAGGAGCAAAATTGCCATCACAGGCTTTTGTGTAATAGTCTCTAGCGACAACGGGGTCAGGTTTATCACCATTTACTCTCCCATCATGGGCCAAGAGCCCAACATTGTGACATGCATTTACTGACTTCTTCCCACCTTTCTCACATGACTTCATAAAAGACTTGTAGGCAGCTTTCAAATCTGGGTCGAGTCCACCTGTCAGCCAAGAAACCAAAAAATTACTGTAAGGACATGCTAAAACAGATGGGAGCTCTCTGCTTTGCAGCATGCTTCCCAGCGCTCTTTGGGAAATACAGCATCCTTCACTTTCGCTGCTACAATGAAAATTTAGGACTTCAGAGACACTATAATTGTTTCATTTGTAAAGATTTTGCTAATGTTTTCATGTTAGGAAACCTTCCTCCACTCCTTAGTAACTACTTAGACAAAGAACAACCCAAAACCACAGAACATTCTTTCCACTACTACATCTATGGATTTCTTAATAGCTTACACTAGGCAAAGTATTCTTTTGCCAGTATACCTACAGGAACACTAAGATTGTTACTAGTTTTGAACTACAGCAAAAATATGTTCCTTCCTAGTATTGTCATTTGGAAGAAGACTCACTAGTTTAACTGTACCAGCAGATACATGTGGGGCAGACTTGGGGCCTACTTAAGTGTCTGTAGGCAGCGTTACCAGCCTGCAAGTTTATTTCTTATTTTTGAAAAAAAAAACAAAAAAAAAAAAACCAAACCCAAACAAAACAGCAGCCAGATAGGAAGAAATCCAAGTTTCAAGAACAGGACACAGCCACATTCAGCACTGGATAGACTTACCACTTATACAGGCACAATTATAAAAAAAAAACAAACCAAAACTAATGGTTAACCTAAAGTTGATTCTTCAGAAGGAAGCAATTTTTCCACGGTTCCCCAGCTTTTATCATGTGACCACAAAAGGGGCAGGACAGGTAGTTCCTCCTTCAAGGGCAGGAGGAAACACGCCTGTTTCCTTGGCACCTTGGCAAAAGCAAAAGCTGTGTTTCCTCACAGGCATCGGCCGCCCTGCCCTCCCCGCCCCCT